CGTGCCCAGAGATAAATCGCAGAGTATCGTTCCGTCTGATGATGTCAGCGGAACGGGTCGTATGTCCAATGAGGGAGACCTGCGTAGTAGATCAACCTCAGGGTCGTTAAGTTGCGCTGTGGCCATGGCTGTCAAATCGATAGCAGTGCCGGCGTCAGCGGAAATAGCTTGAATGCGGGAAAGTGCATCGGCGACGGCGTTGTGCACACCTGAGACATGCCGTATATCGGTCGTAAACTGAGCGATATAGTCAAGGTGGCGCGACTCTCTAGGAGAGTATCGGTCGGTAGTCGAGCCGAGCACGTAAGTTAGGGGTTTGTGGTCGGTGAAGACGACAAAGGAGCGGCCTTCTAGGACGTGTCGAAAGTGACGTATCGCTAGATATACGGCAAGTAGTTCTCTACCGAACGTGCTGTAGCGAGATTCGGTAGGTTGTAGGCGTTTGGAGAAAAACGCTAGGGGCTGCCACGTGTCGGCTACGCGTTGCTGCAAAACAGCGCCGACTGCCACGTCCGAGGCGTCAGTACTGAGGGACAGTGGGGCGGCCGGATCGTGGTGCGCTATAGAAGCTATGTTGGCGATAGCCTCTTTCAGCGACTTAAAAGCAGCGCGTGCTGCGGTAGGAAATTCGAACGTCTTTAGTTTCCCTCGGAGAAGGTCCGTGAGGGGTTGCATCAGAGAGGCGCAGTTGGGTATAAATCGACGGTAAAAGTTGACCAGGCCATCAAAACGCCTGAGCTGTTTGAAAGAATGAGGCTCAGGGTAGTCGATAATGGCTTGAATTTTATCCTGCAGTGGCACGACGCCTGCAGAAGAGATACGATGTCCCAGGAAATTAACTGAATCGACACCAAACGAACACTTTTCTGCGTTGATCGTCACCCCGTGTTGAGATAAACGATCAAAAAGTGTTCGTACGTGGCGTATGTGCTCTTCTCGTGAAGAGCTTGCGATTAAAATGTCGTCGAGATACGCGTAAGCGAAGTCTAAGCCGCGACAAACTTGGTCGATGAAACGCTGAAAAGTTTGCGCGGCGTTCTTTAGGCCAAATGGCATACGCAGAAACTCGAACAAACCAAATGGAGTCGTCACGGCAGTTTTAGCGATGTCCGCCTCGGCTACCGGAATTTGGTTGTATGCGCGTACCAAGTCGATTTTGCTGAAGATACTTTTACCTGCCAGACTGGCGGTGAGATCCACTATGTGTGGGATCGGATAGCGATCAGGCGTGGTTACCGTATTCAAGGATCGATAGTCGCCGCAAGGACGCCAGTCCCCCACAACCTTCTTCGGGACCATGTGCAGAGGCGACGCCCATGGGCTGTTGGACGGTCTGACGATACCAAGTTGAAGCATGTGGTCAAATTCGGCTCGTGCTGCCCGTAGTTTGTCTGGAGCAAGCCGTCTTGGTCGTGCGCTAACTGGCTGACCGCGCGTAACTATGTGGTGAGCGACCTCTGTCGTGACTGGTGGAAGCTCTGCAGCCGGTCGAACCAGTCGCGGGTATTCGGAGAGGAGGCTCAAGTAGTCGGACGGTGCGTCTGCGATCCGAAATACAGGGCTGATTATCGGGGCATCTGAAAGGACACCATCAACACCAAGTTTCGTACGGTCGTCTAAAAGTCTGTGGCGACCAGCATCAACAAGCAACCCAAAATGGCGGAGAAAGTCGATACCGATAATTGCGAAGGGTACAGACGCAACCATGAAGACCCACTGAAAATCTCGGCGAAGATTGAGGTCTAGGTTCATCATGCGCTGACCGAATGAAGCTATCGGAGAACCGTTGGCCGCACGCAAATTGTACGTAGGCTTCGAGTGCTTGTCGCTAGCGGTCGCTGGGATGACGCTGACTTCCGCTCCTGTGTCGATGAGGAACGTGATGGAAGAACGTCGATCCTTAACGTAAAACAGTCGGTTTGCTTGGCTATTGAATGATACGTTTGTAGTGCTAGTATGCGGGCTATTCGTTTTCCCTGGGTCGTGCCTAATGCAGGGAGCCCGACAACGTCTAGCTCTTTCACCGTATTTGCGGTGATACCAACATACTTCTTCGACGGGTTTGACACTATCTGACTGAGAACTTGTAAGGGAAATGTTGCGCTTTCGTGCGGAACGTGACGTACTCGGTGCAGGCACAGACGAGCCGCAATGAACGGTAGCCAAAACGTGGTCAGCATTTGACCGTGGCACCCGCTGCTTCGAAGCCTTCATTGCTGCTATCCTGCTGCGAAGTAGCGCAATTTCCTCGTCTTTAGAGTCAGATCGGTCTAGCGACTGGGAACAAACATGTGATTCGGTTTTCATCGGTGAGAATATGTCACCGGAGTTACTGGTCGTCTGCTGCGGAAAACGTTCAAGCGCAGCGTCTGCCTTGGTAGCTAAGTCTTTCAGGGATGCATCTATAAACATGGACAGCATTACCGGTAATGGCTCTGGGAGACGTGCAAACCATAGCTCCTTTATCCCTTCTTCGCTCAAGAATAAGGGACCAGCGATGCGCTGAAGTTCGAGGAGCAATGCCGACGGCTTGCGATCTCCAAGCATGAGACCATTGAGCTGCTCAAATCGTGTTCGTGCGCTGGGTCGTAACTCTTTCAATATCGCTTGCTTCATCGTTTCATACTTTGCCTCATTCGATGGGCAGAGTAGAATGTCCTCAATCAACGTCACTACCGAGGGAGGAAGGCGTGGGACGAGCTGATTGTAACTTGGACGGTCCGCCGTTATGCCCTTATTTTCTAGTTCGATCTCGAATATCTTAAACCAAACTTCTGGACTGTGTTCCATGAAACTTGGAACAGCCAAAGGAAGCATGGTTACGCTGTGAAACGACTCAGATGCCACTCTCGAGATGTGAGTCGAAAGATAAATAATGAACAAAATACGATAAAAGTACTAAAATTACGCAAGAAACAAATGAATATATGTATATAATCGAGAAAATGGAACGAACTCACCAAAAAAATCAAACGAGAAAAAAGTTGAATTCGCGCGTGCGAATCGGGGTCACCAATTTGTAGGACTAGTTAATACTAGTCCGAGACGGTGCGCGGAATTAAGCGCGGATATCAGAAGGCAATGGAAGTCGGACACAGCGGACTGTATTCGATGGGCTAGAACAAGAAACGGACGAATGAAGCGAGGCAAGAGCGTACACGTGAGCGCGGGGACTTACAAGGCAGTTGTGTGTCGAGCCGGTTGTAAGATTAAAACAAGAAGGAGTAATGTACAATCGGTCAACAAGTAAATTGTACACGAAAGATAAGAGTTATCTTTTTGGGCGCTACAGCTTCACCCCAACGAATTGTAAAGTGCTGCTCCAGGTTTGGCACTCGCTCCTTCCCTTGCTCACACTTGAAAGTACACAACTTGAACACGCGGTTGACCATGTCTACCTGTGTGCTGGTAGCTTTATTGGGAAGGAAGTTTCTCTTCACATGGCCAAAGCTCGGTCGGCATTTGTCAGGCTGACCCACTTGTGACGTCTTCGAGATATCTCCTTATTGATAAGCGGCCTGGTTTACAATGTCTCCGTTCGACCGCTGTTGCTATATGGAGAGGAGTCGTGATCAGTTCGCGAGGATGACGTGCGCCGACCCTTGAGATTCAACAATTGGTGCTTGAGCAGGATTGCCCGTGTGTAGATCAGTGACGGATCTGCAGAGGCGAAGTCAGACCTTGTGTCTTATGAAATGCGAGTGTTCCCTTTAACAAGCTGATTTTACTGTGCCAATTAGGATGGCTCTGTCACGTCTTACGTAAATCATCTGAACCTTTCCTCTATCGTGCCCTGTTCGCTCGTGGAAGACTCGACTGTAAGAGTACACGCGTGGGTCAGTCGTCCACTTGTCGATAGCGTATGAAATCGTTGACTTCAAGTCTAGTTACCGGTGGATCCACACGTCTCCTTCGTTGGGATCCAAAGAACGAGAAGTGCCGATTAGTCGAAACACTTCAGTACATAACGAGCAAACGAAACCAGTGAAAGACTAGTATACACAATTGTTTGAATTAACTTTGTGATGCGCGAAAATTGAAGAAGCCAAATTATGGGCAAACGATGTGTGACAAAAATCACCCAAGTGTTTCGTTCTTTTTGTGGCATTTGTTCCAGTCTGTTTCTGTTGTTTTATGTTGATTTGGATGGCTTTTTGTCTATCTATTGGACTGTTGCGTATATATATATATATATATACATATATATATATATATATATATATGGAGAGAGAGAGAGAAAAATGGATGAATCAGAGCCGAAACCTTCCAGTTCGTTTGCCACCCCAGACGTCCGGATTGTTAAGGCTTACTTATTAGTAGAGCAAGTTACAAATTTAGATTGTGCGTCGCAATGAAAAACGGCTGCGGGTATTGCAAAACTCAACATTTAACTGCTACTTGCTGATTCGAAAATGGTCTGCGAATCGCATCCTCTCCTCTTCTTATTGGGCAACTCGAAACCATGACCCAACGTTTTGTTAGCATGAACTTGAGCCTCCGTGCCATGGCTGTCGCAAACCTCGATGCTTAGTTAACTGATTGTAACACAAGCCAACTACCTATCACACTTCTCGTACGCCGATGTCACGGAACAAGCAACGGTTCCCCCAGCTTAAGTTGGCAACGGACACCAGGCATTTTCAGTCGTTTATGCAGAGTGTAATATTTATGCGAATGGTTAGCAGATTCCTGTACGTAAAATTAATTTCATCGCAACTATGCGCAGGTAGACAGCAGTTTGAGTCGTCATCGGGAAGCATTCTTTCAGCTTGGTGAGTGTCCAAAACAATGGCCGTTCTTTAGATGACATGAACTCACACCTTTGGATCGCTGCACATTCTGACAACCGAAGTGCTTTAGCCTTCATTAGTGGCATAATGCAGCCCACTATTCATGAGTTTCGAAGTCTCTGCCAACCGAGGATGTTGTCAATAGCCTCAATAGTTCCCTTCTTTGTCTTTTTCGCAAATACACTCATTAACTTTTCGTTTTGCCGGCAGGCTCCGACAGGTCAAGCTGGAACGCGCCGAACGAGACTCCACTGGCCGTATTCCCAATATGGAGGAATGTGTGTGCCCGGCCGGACACACAGGCACATCTTGCGAATCATGTGCGTTTGGATATTGGAAGGATCCGAAACGTGGCGCTGTCGTGTTGGCTGGCATGTGGCGAGACACGGACAAGGCCGTGCAGCCGCTATGCGTGCCATGCGAATGCAACGGTCATTCGGCGCACTGCGACGAGTACACAGGAAAATGCATTGTAAGTTGTGTCTATTTGGTTCCATTTTGCAACCACTCATAAGTTGTGTGTACCATAAACCACAAAAAATGATTTGTAACGGGCGAAAACGGTTGCTTGGTATGTCCCGTAGGATGACCAGAGTGAAGATTATTAAACCAAAATAATAGCATGAAAAAAGGGAGAAATTCGGATTTTTAGTGACTCACCAAGCTATTCACATGAACACTGATGTTAGTTTCCTCTCCGCTACTTTATGGAGAGGGCTGGTTAGCAGACCATTTCCTTTTGGTTACTTTGACTTTCGATGGAAACGGACTAGTGCAAGTGGGACAGTGTCATCAAGGCGTTTTTACTAGCATTAGTGTGAGCAAAAGTGATGTAACTTGAAAGAGCGCCCCAGATTCGGGACACTCGAAGTACGAAAAGGTTTTATCGGCAATCAAGCCAACCGTAATGCATGGCAAGTTTGAGCTGGTGGCCTCTCAGGTTAGTATTGTGCGTGAGGTGCAGCGGGATCGCGATGCGCGTGCTTTTGATTCCTCACTATTAAGTAAACTATGGTGAGATCTCCTCACTGATGTCGATATTCAAACCTGTACAATTCCAGAGCTTGCAATCTGCGTTCGTAGGGGACAGGTAGCAAACCCCTAAGCAATTTGCTCGCTCTAGGTTGCGGAGGTGCAAGTGCACCAATACCGTGCTTGCGCCAGGGACGCCAGGCTTTGATCGTGTACTCCACCTGGAGCCTCATGTAGGCGTTCAGCATTTGCGGAAGGCTAAATGATTCGAACTTTCCCAACGCCCTCCGCAAGAGTCAAGGTGCTGACCGGCCTGTTGCGAGCAGCCTAGGTCATCCTGCACGATTTCCCCCGAGGTGACTTTGCTGGGAAGCACGTTGTAACTGCAAGCCCCCAAATCGATGTTCATAGGTACGTTGATGACGTATGCCCACAACTTTGCATTTCGCCACGTCGTAATAGCATGGTGTCGCACATAGTACAAGTTACCACGTGGCCGATACCCACCCTCGTATTGTATTACACGGAACAGTCGATGGCTTTGTTAAATTGACATTAACCCCCACGGTGTATAACAATCTTGCTTTCGGCATTGGAGTTGATTGTGAGTAAATTGTGCTTCTTAGCCTCATTCGGGCTAGACCGACCAAATCCACGGTAGCTTTACATTACTTACCTGGCTTGGTCCCCTGTTATCTATCCATTAGCTACATTTCTATTTCTCCCAGCATTTCCCTCTTCGATAACATATCACGATCCGTAGTTCATTAGATTCTTGATTTGATGAATTTCTCCAAGTACGGGTATGACTATGAAGGCCTAAGCACTAAGTTTTGCATGCAGGGATCGTCCCACCTAATATAGCACATATTCGGTGACTCTTTGTCACAAATTTAGCCCTACGCATCAGCGCCACTTAGTTCACTTCGGTCGTTAAGCGCCCGAACAAGTGTACCCTCGTTCATTACCTAGACCAGGTTCCATGAGAATGACAATACTTGACCCGATCATCTGCTATTTCCATCTCTATTTCGGATCCAGGATCCGAGTAATCTCCATTGGGGAATACGGGTGCGCAGTTTTCATGACAGCGTTGGTCTAAACAAAAGGTCACCTTGTAAAACGAGCTGTGTCCCAGACATCTTTCTGTGTGCCTTCAATAAACGTGTCTGCCCAAAGGCAAGCTCATTGGGTGTGCGTCAGGTAGATCGGAATCCTGAAGTCCAGCAGTGACCACCTTGGAAGTTGGCAGGAGATAGCATCTACCCGCTCGTGTGCAGAGTCCGGGTTCGAAGTGGGTTGATCACAAGGTCTCGTTTGCTTTGATCTAAAAGTTCGAACCTGGTCGATATCCCGGCGGGTATATGTCACCGTCATGGTCACCGCCTTAAGCAAACAGAGATTCAGTGTTGCTTACGAGATCTCTCAATTGGACTCTTGTTATAGATCGGAATACCTGCATTGTATCGCTAACAACTTCTCGCTTCTTACGACCGCAACATGTGCACGAAATAAGAGCCAGGACAGAAGTGTACACATAATGATACTGCCTCACTTTTGTAGAGTACAATCGTGGTTGAGGCTACTAAAACACGTCGGAGGCAACCAACAACCTAGGGGGCGCTGAATGACGCAGGCGAATGAGAAAGGGTAGGAGTAAAAACCGATCACGAATGCTCGAGCAACTGGCATTATCGAACATAGGACTCGAGGTAATATCCATTACGAACGCCGTTTGTCAGTCAGTCAAATTAAAGAGATGAGGCGCTTACACAAATGTCAAAGCGCGGAGGATAGAAAAAATGAGACCCAGTAACTAGAAATGGTCGCAAGAAATGTATGTCCTGTGGACAACCTCCTAACAACCTGTAAGTCGGATTGGTAATCGAAGGGCTTCTAGGTTCTTCGGGTTAGCAATTCGATTACGAACATTTCGCTACCAATCTAGGCAGCATTTTCAATGCGTAGTAGCAAGCAGCCCCAAGCAAAGCTGTCTCTGCATTTGGAACAATGGAGCAATGGTTTATTACGGGTAAAAAAGCGTTGCTTAACAAGTCCGTAGGATGGAAATTATTGTGAAAATCAATTGCATAATAAAGTGAAAAGCGTTGTGGTGGACTCACCATAGACTTATGCGGAATAGCGGAGATGTTCGCGTATTAAACATATAAATCCATAAATCCATTGGTTAGGCGTTTGGCAAGACACCGACTGATTGCGTTTTGTAGTCCCTGGCTTGTATTGCTCCTGGTATGACACCCGTTTGAGACGAGTACATGAAATGCGTACTGGCATTTTTATGCATCCCCGGACACCTTTTGGTATGATATATCATTATGTCTCACTCCAAAGTCAACATGTTTTGGCCACATCAAAGGTGTATCTGGTAAGATCTGCTATTGTTTGAACTCATCATTGTCTCTCTTCCAGCTCGTTAATAAAATTTTCAAAGGAAAACGGTGCACAATTAGTGTTAATAGGAACGCAGCATGCTCTAAAACTTAGAAGTACTCAAACATTATATCAGGCAAGGTTGACGTCACTGTCTTTTACCCATTATTATTATTAGTAGTAGTAGTAGTAGTAGTAGTATTGTTATCGATATGTGTATCATTGCAATCACTACTATTCGCTTTCATGCAGTCCTGTGAACACAACACAGCCGGTGACAAATGCGACAAATGCGCACCCGGATTTTACGGCGATGCCGTCTCAGGTGGTCCAGAGGCTTGTCAACCTTGTGCGTGCCCTACACTAACGAATCAGAAGACAGAGGTATGTGTGGCACATGAACAAGCCCCAACCACAGACTTAAAACCATACATCTGCTTGGATTGCGATGAGAAGTGAGTTGTGATGCTGTTAATGTTTACTTGAGTAAAGTGACATGTGGTGTGGGCACACTGGCCCCAGCATTACGACTGTATCGACCCAAAACTGCCTCTAGCCACTAACGATGGTGAAAACACGAGATGAGCAGTAACAGGCTTCTTTTGGTAGAAAAATGGTACTGTTTACATAGTATGGAGGTCAACAGACGCGTAACAGTCAAAACCAACGGGAGCCTTAAAACCGCGCCACTAAGTACCGGAGCAGCTAAGATAACAAATCGAATGCGCACAACTAAAACAGTGATAGCATTGGCGTCTGAGTGAGCACGGCGACTTTTGATATGCAATGACACATGAAAACAAATAACAATAATTAAACGCAACAAAACCAAAGTCTGAAGTTATGAACATTCGCATAAGCACATCTGCGTTGCTGTTGTTCTTCCAATAGTTGTGTTCCACGATTTACAACGTTGGAAGTATTGGAAAATGTATAACTCGCCAAGCCTGGTGTGTGAAACCTAGAGTCAACAAAAGGAGACTGACAGCAGTCTTATTAGGTAAACTTTATTTAGTAAGAACACTCGGCCTACGATTGTCCAGTGGTTCGGTAAAAGCAAGTATTCTGGAGCGAGGCGTCATTGTGTTCTTGATGTATTCTGGCTTCCTTGATTGACATGACGGATCCATATCTGCATACAGACGCGAATACCATACGTCATCTGTCCACGGTGCCGCACGACGAATCCAGGTATGTGCAGCAATCCATTTCGCTCTTCTTTGGTGGGTGGGCATCTGACAAGCAGATGCGATGACTCCGCATGAAATTGTGCGTGCGCCAATCACAGATGCAGTCAGGTTCACATTTGCGTTTAAACACTAATCATTGATTGAATGAATAGAAAACAGAGGAACGTGCTCGGGTTTTGTAGAGGCGTGTAATATGCGATGTTAGAGGTGTGAGTCTGCTGGATCACGGGATGTGGTTTCAGCATATCGGGCATGCTGTATTTTATCCTGTAGATGTGTAGAGAAGAGGCATACACCGGGAGCCCAGCTTCTTAGTTCCTCATGCATGATCACAGTTGCGGCTATTCATTGCTACCCGGGTTTTAAAGACAAGCGAAGTAATCTATTTGCTGGCTCGAACAGCAGCTTTGAGATAACTGGCTAAATAAATGAATCGGTCGACTATTTTAACTGGTCGTCTGATGCCAACGAGAACCGTTGGATTGTCGATCCCAAAGGGATCTACGGTTACTAATGTATTTAGCGCTCTGCGTCCAAGCATTTAAGATCATTTGTACAGTGATTATGCTTCGGTTATAAGGTAACCTCATCGTTTATATGCCAACATGGATGAGCCTCGAATAACGTACACTCTGCATGAGGTGGCTAGGGTTCCACCATTGACGCTTTTTCATTCGACACTAAAAATAAATGGGGCAAACAAGTAATTAAGGCTGGCAGTACTCGTCGTGGTGAGGTAGAGGAGACGGCTACCGGGTGACACCTAAATGGTACCTGGAGCAGGGCTATGAACTGTTCATAATTGAAAGAACGTTCGAATCCGTGCCGATTAAAAGGACGAGGTTCAACACACAAGTAGAAGCATATGGACGGTAAGCACCATTTGTTTGTCTGTTATATCTGGGTGCCATCTCTGTCTATTAATCATGTGATTTATCAGCAGAGACCAAAAGTTCCGCTCCCTCGATCGTTTAGCCGTCCTATTTTGCGATACTAAAGTATAGAGAAGGGGTGTACCACTAGCCAGCAACATTTAAGCGGTTATACACAATGCATACAGAATCATATAGATGCAATGTGTGGCAAGTGGACGATCTAGTGGACGTCTGCATGATAATTGATGCGTAATTCAAGAAGCTGCGTATTATTTATAGGGGTACTCGTTATGTAAATGGACTTGGAAACGCAGTCTCAATCTGGACTGCAATTTCTTTCGAAGTGAATCTTGGTCAATGTGGTCAACTCCAGATTCAAATGGGGTTTGGAGTGAAAGGAGCATTCCGCGGTCGTTCCAGCTTGAATACGGTGCGTTATTCCATGAGAGAGCTCGGCAGTATAATTGGCCATTTATTGGGACCCGAATCAGTACGCACAGATTGTGTCTTAGTCAACGAAATAAAACTCATGTGTCCTGCACAAACCATTCCCGCTGTGCGTCCACGTGCAATAGGAAAAGGAAAGGTAAATTTATAGCCTAGAATATCACTAAAAACTAATGACATAACTCGAAAGGAAACTAGCAGCGAGTAAGCCGGGAAGACAAGCACTGGAGAACAATCAGGGTCAAAACTAAGAAGCGAAAGAGAGGATAAGGCGTTGCAGGTTGAAAGCGTCCAGGCTGTGCTAGTAAGAGGCTACATGGAACTCTGTCAACGTAGGAGACAATACAACGTCCTCGGGTAGCGCGTGACAAACAAGTGTTAGCCAGAACCCAACCAGATCGGAGTTCGCGTGACTACATTGCATACCCACGAAAAGTTGGTAACTTAGCGGGATGAAATAGCCAAAAGATATCTGGGACCGCATCTGAAGCGAAGAATATTGGGCCTTGCTAGCTCGTGATACTGCACCCTATGACCAGTTTCCTATTTGTTTGTATTCATCTCTCTTATTAAGCCCCGCGACTGCTTACGCTCACTAATGGCAGTAAGCACACGAACCATCATGTTCAGGCTTCAGGGTTCCTTTCACCTACATACGAACGGACATAGCATGACACGAAACAGTAAAAACCGACCAGAACAATGAAAACGTGCGAATGGGCAAAGCTAATAAGCACCGAACAAATAGTGAACCACTCAAATGCAGACAAAGAAGCAAAGTGTTCGAGTTGATGCCAGTGGTATTGTGATCTGCATCCAAACACAACAGCAGTAATCATCACCATCATCAGTATACACGTTAGCTAGAGGTGGGAAGCACTCATCTACTGTGCCGCAAACAGTAGTAAACAGTGAATGGGCTAAGGAAATGATACGTTGAAACAAACGTCAGTGAATAGGTACAACAAAAAGAAGTCTGCAGTTGTGTAACTTGACATATGCATGCCAGCATTATCATTGCTCCCTTATCAAGCATCCGTAACTCGATTGTTGCCAGTCTGTGGTTAGGACCATTGAACTACGGGGACGGTAATGACCAACGTGACCAAGTTACCACATTTGATATCCTGCCGCTTATTATCCATACAAAGTGGACAAGCTGAACAGTAACCAAACTGTAGGGAGACAGAATGCAATGGTTGCCCGGAGGAGAAAAAGACCACTAAAACGGGAGCGAACGGAAAGGGAAACGGGCGCAATGAGGGGAGCAGATGGAGAAACACTGACCTGACGGAACAAGACGAAAACGGGGCACAAGCGTCACCCGGTAGTGAGCCTAAGCCCGGCAAAACAGGGAGAGTATTTGTCGAGAACGTAATAAATCGGACAAAACCACAGTTATTGCATCCTCCCAGAACCATCACAAGCGGAGCAATACATCCACGTTCAAACAAAGCACGAGCTATCGAACGACTCCGGATCGGTCAGAATGGGACGCGTGGAAGCGGAGCTACGGGGGCGAAATGGACATAGAATAATTCTTCCCGTACCTCAAAGAGTGCATGGACGTGTCGCGAGCGGAAGCCAGGAGAGATGGTGCAACGGGGGAAGGAAACATGACTCATTAATGTACGCCTGTGTGAGTGGTGACATAGCTTGTGATCGCGCCAATAAAGATTGTGCTTCATTGTCGCGTCGTTGTCGCTATGCTGGTGCTGTGACTAATCAGAATGAAGTTGACCTGGCCAGCGCCGTTTGCAGAGGGAGACGTGGAAATTTGGCTGGAGGAGTTTGAGGCGATTGCGGCATGTAATGGAGTCAGAGGAGATGCCAACTTGCTGACCGCCTTGGGCACGATGCTGACGGGAAGAGCGAAGGCGACCTACCTACTAACGCGGAAGGTCAAGGCTGGCTGCTTATTTGCTGAGATGAAGGCGGTACTGTGTGCGGAATTCGGGAAGGAGATTGACCAGCAACAAGCGCTGGAACAGTTTCCCTAAGCCAAGTGGGAAGAGCAATAAGATCTGGTGGTGTTCTTTCAGAGACTGAACAGGCACTTGGAGAATACGCTTCCGGAATTGGATGACGACGCGAGAGAACGGTTACTGAGAGGACAATTCGTCCGAAGTTTGCCCAAACCCATGCAGGACAAAGGGAAATTGGCATCCATGGTTGGGGTCAGCAAGGCAGAAGAGCTTGTGGCTGTGGCCCAGAGTTTTTCGGAGCTTGTGACTATGGGAAGCATCGTGCCGTCAGAGTTGGGACACAAAGTAGACCAACTATCGCGGATGGTGGAACGGCTATTGAGCGGAACGTCGAGAACAGAGACACAACGCAATGCGTCCGAAAGACTGGATGAGCCCCGTTGCTTCAGATGCAACCGGGTTGGTCATTGTGCTGCATATTGTAAAAACGGAGAATGTTACCATTGTTTCTCCTTATCTATGTCAGGTCAGTGGCCCGTGCCCTCCCTTGAGATAACCATTGAGGGTGTCGTGGTCAGTGCGATAGTACATACGGGAGCGGGTGTTTCCATTACAAAAGGTTCGATGGTGTCTCCTTAGCTCAGTCATCAATCGCGATGGAAACCGTCGGAGGACATCGTTTGAAGGTGACAGGGGCTCAGAGATTACGAGTGAGAATTGGGAAAACGGTTATTAGCCATTCCATGTTTGTTATCGAAAGTGCAACGGAAACAATCATTGGTAATGCGGTCCTCAAGCGGCTCGGTGCGACTATTGATTTACGAAAGAATGTTGTGCTAGTGGGCAGAGAAACTATCGAGATGAAATGCGACCAGATAGGTGCCGTGACGGTTCTTCCCGAGTGCCCGAACCGTACAATACAGGATGTCCTTCAGAAGTATGCGCATTTGTTCACGGATGCGAATGGCGATTACGGATTTTGCAGCTGGGTAGAACACCGGATACCCCTAATCCCAGA